TGTTCCATACAGTTTTTAACAATTAGAAGGATATCACTTATTGCCTCTTTTGTTGTCCATAACAAGAGATACCTGTTTTTATCTATAGAATAGATTTCTTTTGTTGTCTATAGCAATAAGTCCATGTTGTTTATAGCAAGTTCCATGTTGTTGTCTATAGCAATAGGTCCATGTTGTCTATAGCAATGGGTCTATTTTTATAGCAAGTTCCATGTTGTTGTCTATAGCAATAGGTCCATGTTGTTTATAGCAAGTTCCATATTGTTGTCTATAGCAATAGGTCCATGTTGTCTATAGCAATGGGTCCATGTTGTTTATAGCAAGTTCCATGTTGTTGTCTATAGCAATAGGTCCATGTTGTTTATAATAAGTTCCATGTTGTCTATAGCAATAGGTCCATGTTTATAGCAATGGGTCCATGTTGTTGTCTATGGTAATAGATCCATGTTTAAAGCAATAGGTCACTGTTGTTGTCTATAGCAATAGGTACAGCTTGATACCATTTTCTTGCTATAGATATAAATAATAAGTGTATGCCTGGATATGATGTTTCATTACTGAGCAATGGATACAGATCTGTTTTTACTCCTCAAAAGCAAGGAACTTAAAAGGACACAGGAAATGGAAATAGCAGCAAACATAGAAAGGTTGTACATGTTGCTCAGAGTATCCCAGGAACTTTACGAGTTAATGTTTAATGAATGGCCACATCAATTTCTGAGAAGCTGTGAATTTTCGTAAATGATTTCAGGAAGAAAATATAAATAATCTACTTGTCAGAGATTGATTTTGAAAAGAAAGTTGTTGACATATCGATTTTTGCAACTTTGTTTCACATTTTTTTTACAAATGGTAATGTTTTTAACAAAGAGTTCTTTTCATTAGAAAAAAGTTATATTTCATAAAATTGTAATAAATACCCAGATTTCACCTTATTACTCTTCAGATGCATACCTAGCAACATTCAAAATGCTTCCCATTGAAATTGATTACTATTTAGCACTAATTTATTAATTTTATTATCTAAAATGTTTTTAAGATACCAAAACATACTTGCAGCATGTTATAGATTAACCAAGAATTATGAAAAAGGCTTTGGCATCAGTATTTGGCAGAAAATTTAGATAATGATTTAAAGAGCTGAAGACAGTTTATTTTTCTTATAAATATTTTATTTATTTAAAATTTATTAAAATTATAAACAAAGAGCTTCTTGTAATTTTGCCATACTTGAACATTTGCTTCCAAATTTCAACTTGTGTTATCTGGAAGTTTTCTTCCATTTACTGCAATGTTTTTGCCAGTAGTTGGATTTTAAAACATTTTAAAATGTATTCATGCCAAAAGTCTATCATGGACAGTTGCATGTTTAATGTTTGGCTAATACACCCAATAAGTTTGAAATCAGGATAGATCAGTGGCATGTATTACTCTAAGGGCAATTTTTTAAAAAATAGTATTTATTTTAATTTAAATTTTAAAAAAAGAAGTTATTTTATTTAATCTGAATACACATCTCCAAATTTCAACTTTTAAAAAAATTAGGTATCAATCTAAATAGAATTTTTTAAATAACATTTGGAGATTCTCATCCATATACCCCTTATTGTCAATGGTTAGTTTAAAATTTTGTTTTCAAAACTAGTTCCTAGCCAGGAAAATTTTGAAAACAGTATTTAGATGTTTACTATTTGACCAATGAAAGAAAAAGGTTTTAGAAGTAGAAGGATTTATCTGTTGTGTACTACATTTTGGATCAATTTTAACTATTTTTTTTTATTTATAAATTTACAAATTTTCAGTAAAAAAAACTAATTGCATTTTTCATAAATATTAGAAAATATTCCTCCATATGTCAATTTTTCTGTTTTGCATTATCTTGAACAGCTGGTTTGTAACATGTAGAGGATTTCCCCTCATGTACTTTCTTTGTTGTCAGTAATTAGATTATTTTACAAATTTTAAAATGCATTCATAGTGAACTATAGATAATTTTAAAAAAGGTATTGTCATTTGTAATGTTTGACCAATAAAATATTTTTTAGAAAGCTGAAGAATGGATTTGTAGCATGTGCTACTTGGCAAATTTGTGATTAATAATATCAATAATGTTGTTTTAATATATAAAATACAAATTGTTTGAATAAATAACTATAATTAGCAGATTTTTCTAATGTACATCTACAAATTTAAGATATTTTATTGTGTATTATTTTAATAACTTAATTCCTTATTGCCACTAATTGGACTTTTCAAAAACTGTAATAATTTTTTTAACATGTTCATGTCAGATGGCTGCATATAGGCAGCTCAAAAATTTATAAAGGCTTTGGTATGTTTAATGTTTTGATTAGTAAGCAATGCTTTTCAAAGCAAGATAGTCACATCTTTTAACTTGTTTTGGCAAATATTTATCAATATATTCAATAAAGAAGTGATTGTAATTTTCATTATTTTTAAATGTACACTTTCCCAGTTCATTTTTTAATTAAGCGTTAAC